AAAAAAAAAAAAGGCCAGGCATGGGCTACCATGCCTGTAATCTCATCACTCAGGAGGCTGAGGCAGAAGGATCACTGTGAGTTTGAGGCCAGCCTGGGATACTCAGTGAGTTCAAGACCAGCCTGAATGACATAGGGAAACCCTGTCTCTAAGTAAGTAAGTAAATAAATAAATAAAAAGTAAAGATTTGATGGACATTCCTGTAACGTAAGAGAGAGATTGGTGCTGAGGGAGTCTGAGAGTCAGAAAGTAATGGACAGAACGTAGAAATTGGGTCTTTGTTTCCTTACTCCTCTCTGTCAGGATAAATCTGGATTACAGGATGAAAGGGGAGCCTGAAGGGAAGGGGACATGGAGCAGGATCTCTCTAAATAGACCTAATGAAGTAACATAAAGTGGTTTCATATATCACCTGAGGACACATTCTGTGTGGAATGAGAGACAAAGGAATGACGCAAGGCAGGGCCACAGAGTTTTTTGCAACATGTAATCAAGGAATGTTAGTCTCCTTGATTTATTCATAATTAACTTTTTCAAAAGTCATGAAAAAGACTACACATTTTTTAAATATAGTGTCTCTCTTGGATGAGAACCATTTTGCTTAAATAAGATAATTTCTGAGAAGTGTTTTTTGTTTTTTTTTTAAGAATAGCTTTCTAGAGTGGAAAAACAGTTCTGGAGAATTGAAGGTTATCCTGAGTATCTTAATATTAAGGATACATTACAAACTCCTGTTTTCACTAAAATCCAGTATTTGTCTTAAGCATTTAAAGTTGAAAGAGGAGCACTCTTATCCTTTAGCCTCACTTTTGTTATTAATTTGCATTTGGAGCTATATAAGAATGTTTCTCTGGTTTCCTTTCTCTCGGGCATACATTATCTCTGTTTCAGATTTAGTAAGTAGCAAGGGAAAGTAAAGGTAAATGTTTATCAGTGCCTCAAAATATAAAACACTCGAGTTTATAAGAAAATGCTTTTTTTGAGAAATCAAAATATATTATGTACAGGTACAAATTCTCTATGATGAATATGATCATTATGGACATCTAAAATGTACCAATACACTTAATTATATTTAAAAAATACAAACTAATAAAAGAAAAAATGCGTATGCACAACGTAAGTAATGTCATTTATGTTCACCTGTTTAATATTTATGACCATATTAATGAAAATCAAATTGTGTAAGCTTCATGGTACAAAGTACACAAACATAGTGTTGTAGGTAGCTAATTAGACAGAAATCAATAGGCAGTCAGAGAGGGCTAGAGCCCTAAAGAAACTCAGTGCAAAAGGTAAGATACAGCAAAATTGTGGCTGTAAGCAAGTTTAAACAGAGCCAGGTATGCAGACCTCCCTAGAAATAAACAGCAGCTTGAGATTACACTGTGGTTGGTACCACCTGGTCCAGTGAGCCTAGATGGTGCATAGGTAGGTGACCAGAACACCCTGACCCATGCTCCCATCCTTTCCATGAGTGCCTTTGTTCTTTCTCTGTTAAAAGTTATAAACTAGGTGATGCTCCCTATATACCCTTTCTACCTGCCTCGCTTCTTTACTGGACAAATGTTAGCTAAGCAACAATATTTGTAATCCTATAGATTGATTGTAGTTTGACCACGGTCAAATTACACAATTTTTCCCCACAAGGGAAAATGGCCCAGCCCAAAGTGTCAAGTTTCAAGGGGGAGATTTGCTTCAGAGATGTACCATGCAAAATAGGCTCCAAATTTTGGGGAATATACTTGTAGAGTACATTTTGATCCCTTTCTGAGGGGTGAGTTGTTCCAAAGAATGAATAAAAGTTTGTTTTGAATGGTGAAAAGAAAGCTTTGTTGCAGAGATACTGGTGCCGAAGAGTAAAGAAGAAAAAATTAGGAAGTGGAGTACAC